GGACCAATCACATGGGGACTTCGGGTTGCTGCTTCTGCTCCCACAGACCTGCCTAGACATGCTTCCTCCTTAGAGACTGCAACAGTGTTATGGGCTTTTGTGGCAGCTGGGAGCTGATTTGCCCAGATTCACAGCTCTGCCACCATCCAGTCCTGCTGGATCTCACTTTCCCCCTCAGTGCCACAGCAGAGCTATGGGTGTTTAACGCAGATGGCGGGTAGCTCACCCAGCCATGCCACTTCTGCTCTTAGGTCGCCTAGCCTTTGTGCATGATGGGTGGGGCCTCTCCACTAGGACCAAGCAGAGACTCTCCCTGCAACTGCTGTGGGACTGTGGATTTTCTCACTGGTCCACAGGGCAATCATGGGGGGCTTAGGGCTGAAGTCACCTGTTTCCACAGTTGCACTGATGTGCACGCCCACCCTCAGGGCCGTGGCGGTGCTATGAGCGTGTTAGTCAGGAGAGAGACACTCGCAGGTACTAGGCTGTTTAGGGGCTGGAAAGTTCTCACCTATCTCCCCTCCACCCCAGGGGTAGTCCATCTGCCTTCCAATGTATAGCAGTGCAGGTCTCTCAGGTGTGTTGAGGTGCTGTGTGAGTATCCTCCGTTGATCAATGAATGTCCATTTAGTTGTTGTTCAAAGGCGGAGAGACAAAGAAACCTGCTCACTCCACCATGTTGCTGATGTCAAGAGTTAATCAATTTTATAATTGCAAGTATTTAGTATTTACTTATACGGAGACATTTCCAAATGTTCATCTTATTTCACATTCCTTTATATTTGATTAATTTCTAAACATATGGTTATCAGGCAACTACTATGTGCAAAGCAAATGTGGGGTGCTAGGGGTACAATTGTGAACAAAACTAGACTGGCCTGGCTCCTTTCCACATAGAGCTTCTTGAATCTTTGTGGTAGCCCTTGGTCTTCCCATCATGTTAAGAGCAGGGCATTTAGCTCAGTCTCGAGAAGTCAACTTGACTTCCACGGTGTCAATTGGTTAAGAAAAATAAATGATTTTGAGTACAGCACTTGTCAGCATACAATTATATGTAATTGAATCTGTACCTCTAATAGTGATGATATAGCAGTGTTATTCAAAGCATGATATGCACATGTTACTCCCACACGTCGAACTTCATTTCAACAACTCTGTAAATCAGTCAGCGTAACTTTTCATGCATGTTGTTGGGACGCAGGTCTTGGCTGAGCTAAGGCACTTTAGAACAGGCTTTCTCAGCACACAGGTTCTGCATCCAGATCACCTGGGTGTGTTTGTAAAAATTCAGACTCTTTAGCCTCACTCCAGAGCGGCAGAATTAGCATCTCAGGAGTTGAGGTCAGAAGTAAGCATTCCTAAGAGGCACTGGCCCAGTCATTTTTGTGCAAAGGAAAATATAAGAACATTATTTTCAGGGCATTCGTGTCAAAATCAGCACAAAAGCAATCAATCAATTGGTCAAACCAAACAAACCAATCCAGTGTTTGGAGGGCACTGATATCAGGCAGTTCTTCATGATAAGTTTCATTTGGCATCACATAGCCCCTCCCTCCAAAAGCGATAATGATATGGTATCACTTATGTTCAGCTGGCTGTGCCAAGGACCTTAGTCATTTGATTTCTCACTTTCATCATCTGCAAAGTGAGGGGTTGAACTTCATGATCTTTAAGCACTTTTTTTAATGCTTTTTAGTGAGGAATATTGGCCCTGATCTAATAATATTGCTAATCTTCTTTTTTTTCTCTCTCTCCAAAGCCCCAGTATGTAGTTGTACATCCTAATTCTAGGTCCTTCTAGATCTTCTATGTGGGATGCCACCCCAACATGGCTTCATGAGCACTGTGTAGATCCACGCCCAGGATCCAACTGGCAAACCCTGTGGTGCCCACGTGGAGCTCAAGAACTTAATCATTAAGCCACCGGCCAACCCCTGAACAGATTTTTAATTAAGGTTTAGAAACGAGTCACCATTAAAAATATGCAAACTTTAGGGACCTGCGCAGTGGTGCAGTGGTTAAGTTTGCATGTTCCACTTCGGCAGCCTGGGGTTTGCCAGTTTGGATCCCGTGTGCAGACTTGGCAATGCTTGGCAAGCCATGCTGTGGTAGGCATCCCACATATAAAGTAGAGGAAGATGGGCACAGATGTTAGCTCAGGGCCAGTCTTCCTCAGCAAAAAGAGGAAGATTGGCAGCAGTTAGCTCAGGGCTAATCTTCCTTAAAAAAAAAATGCAAAATTTATTTTCCCCAGGGAAGACACCAACAGCCTCTGCCCTTGTTTTGCATGAAGAGGCATGAGTGAGTGTTGAAGGCTCCCTCCTCATCCTCAGATGTGAGATGGGTGGGTGTTCTTTGCCCTTCCCCTCCTCACGTTTAGAAAGGATCTGTCTGGACTGCTGTGGGCATTCCCCCATCATGGAGAACCTCATCTGTGGTGATTACTGAGTTAAAACAACTCAGAAAATTGTTTTCACTTTATTGTTTGCATAAAGTAACACCCAAAGAATTTGCAGTGCAAGTTTCATGGTGAGCTAAACCGCACGTGTGACTCTGAGAGGAGGGAAATTCTCCTGTCCAGCGGGGCAGCTAGAGGCATTTTTCCCAGAAGTTCGGCAGAAATGTGAACTAATAATTATTTCATAAGACTAACTGTTTTGTCTGTGAGGAAGAGAGACCTCGCCTGGAACAGACGCAGCTTTCAGCCTCCCTGGGCCTGGAAACACGGTGCAGGCAGCACAAGCGCCTACTTATGGCGCTCTGTGGTGCCCATTATTACACATGTTTCCTGTTTCTGATTCAGACCTTTCAGTCAATTTCCTGTGAAATGGAAATCCTGACTGCTCTTTTCTGGTGCATTCTTATTATGTGGTAAATGGCTAATTTCCTATAATTGAGGAAGCTTTTCCCAGAGAGACTAAAACTTGACTGCTGGAGAAAGTATAAAACCATATGTGGGGGAGATATATTGGTGTTTAAGGAAGGGTTGCATGTGATTTTTATGAATGCGTCACACTTCCACAGAGAAATTCAGGGACTCCAACACAGCACCAGGCAGTGCAATTTTAAAAAGCTGGTACAGCCAGTTTATTTTTATATTGAAAAACCACCTCTTTCAAAATCCTTGAGAATTCTCAAAATTCCATATGTATAATAAATTACATGTAATACCAATTGTAATTTGGAAAATTTGATATTTAAACGCTAATGATGTGAACGTTTTTTAAAAATGTGAACCTGACAGAGGCAGGGCAATGCCTTAAAAATAACACATATGACTCTTCACAGCAACCCCATGAGGTAGGACTATCCCCACTGGTCCCATGGGGAAACTGAGGCCAGAGGAAAATGAAATAGTTTGCCCAAAGTCAGATAGCTAGAAAGTAGTGGAAGCAGTTGCCCTCAACTCCACTTGACTCCAGAGCTCGTGATCTTAATGAGCCTCTGTTGTATAGCCTCCCGGGAAATGACACAGACATTTGCTTTAGTTAGTGATTGACTGTGCAAGTGTGACAGCTTTCACGTAGCAGAATCCATGTATTTATTTTGACTAGCACTCTTTTTTCCCAGTTTTACTGAGCAATAATTGATATGCATAACTGTATAAGTTTAAGGCAGACAGCATGGTGGTTTGATTTGCATATATTGTGAAATGATTACAGCAATAGGTGCAGCCAACGCCCATCTTCTCACATAGATACAATGCAAAGAAAAGAATGAAGGAAAGAAAAATTCTCCTTGTGATGAGAACTCTTAGGATTTACTCTCTTACCAACTTTCCTGTCTGTCATACAGCAGCGTTAGCTGTAGTCATCACGGTGTGCATTACATCCCTTCTACTTATTTATCTTACAACTGGAAGTTTGTGCCTTTTGACAACCTTCCTCCAATTTCCCCTGCCTCTAGTAACCTCAGGTCTGATCTCTTTTTCTATGAGTTTGTTTTTTCTTTTTTTAGATTCCCCATATAAGTGAGGTCATACAGTGTCGGTCTTTCTCTGACTCATTTTACGTAGCATAATGCCTTCAAGGTCTATCCATGTTGTTGCAAATGGCAGGATTTCCTTGTTTTTTATGGCTGAATAATATTCCCTTGTATATATATACCACAACTTCCTTATCCATTCATCTATTGATAGACACTTAGGTTGTTTCCTTGTCTTGGCTGTTGTAAATAATGGTGATTGACTAGTACTTTTTTGGTACCATATGCAAATGCTCCTCTATTTCCCTAGCAAAGATGCGACTGAAGAAGCTAAATGCAGCCTGTTTGCTTGTCCTCTTCTTATCTGGAATGTTCTCTTCTCCTAATGTCTAATTTCCTTGTCACTGTCTTTCTACAACCAGTGAATCAACAACCCCATTTGTCCCTTTCATTGAAATAATGTCTGTATATTTTTGGAGTAATCAGAAGACAAAGATGTGTGAAGTAAGAAAATATGAAGAATATATTTTGATGGAGATTGTATTGCAGAATTAAGCTTTGAAATGCAACATAATTTCCTGTTTTTCCTTTGATTGAGGCTCTGATGTAAGGTGACTTTTTGCAAAGTATCCCCATGTCCTTTCTGATGGCAGCTCCAGCACACTAGAGCATCAAGCCCGGCTGTGGCCATCTGAGGGCCACCAGGATGATGGAGAAGGGATGACCCAATCCCCCGGCTGGGCTTGCGTGCTTTCCTCTTGGATGAAAGGATGCTAAGTATTAGGTTTGGCTGCCCGGCACCCCCACCAAGGCCCCGAAATGGTCTGGGGTGGGATCAGTCTCATACTCACCATACTCTGGGCTGGAACTTGCTCTAAGATGGGAACCGTGTCTTTATATTTCCAGAGACTTGTGCCGTGCCTGGCTCAGAGTACACACCTATTGGCTGATGAATAAGGAATAAATGGATGTGTGCCGTTTGAGCAAATGGAAGATGCAATGGCTTCTGGCTTTCAATATCACACTATTTTTGTGGAAATGTTGCAGTAGAAGAATGTTTCAGCTCACAGGTTTGGAACCCCTGAGCCAGACTTTCAAACAAAGCCTCAATACAAGAATTGGAAACTTAGAAGATTTCCAAGAAAAAGTTCTCTGCTAGATAAACTGACAATGTTGCTTCAATAGGAGTCTTTCTTGTGTTTCTCCCCTTACCAAATTCTTGGTGCTTTAAGCTGGCCCTAAATCTGTAGACTTTGCTCTAAAATTTGGAGCCCCCAAAAGAGCTATGCTATGGTATGTGCCAAATTAAGTAAACTGCAATACCTAAATATGAATATAAATGCCTGCACATAAATATCAGTTTATTGGGCAACTTGTAACAACTTCAACAAATGGTGTATGACAGTAAACATATGGTAATGACATTGAAGCCATTTTTTTGTTTGAAAAGAAAATTACTGTTTTCTATAGATAATAGCACACACATAATAGCATACCCCATCAGGCAGCCTTTCCCATTTTGCTTTCCTTTCAAACAGATGAGTGATGAGATGGATCTTGGCACACTGGACATTGTCTATATTGCAATAAACATTCATGAAAACAGCAAGGCCCCTGAGGCATTTTAAGAGCACCCACAGCACTGTCCCTCTCAGTGGCCCCAATGATCTTTTCTGGGTCTTGCACATGGTGCCTGGAGAGATCTGACAGAGGTGTGGCCCATTAGGGGATTTCCCAGAGCCAGCTCTGACTCTTAGATTATATTCCATTGATGTCTAGATCCAAGATCTTTCCTCTCCATGGAGGAATTCTGAAAGTATATGCTCTCAGCCCAGCCTTACTGTGTCATTCTAGAAGAAAATTCAACCTGATTTGCATGGTATTGTAACATGGAGATGAAATTTCCCCACTTGCCTTAACTACTGGTGGAAACTCCTACAGCCAGCAACGAACTTTGCTTGTTCCCTTCCTGTGACCCTTATCACAGTCTGTCTGGTAAGATACATAGTTGTGCGCATCTTATCACATCTTAGACTGCTTTCATATTTACTGGTTCTTTATGTAAATGTTTTCTTCAGCCCTTGCTTTGAAGGTCAGGAGACTTGGATTTGAATGCTGGCTTCACTACTACTAGCCGTGAAAAGTTGGACAAGTTATTTCTTCTCCCTTAGCTTTAGTTGTCGCAGCTGCAAAATAGGGAGAATAATGTTTCTGCCTCCATGGGTTGATTGAAGATAAATGAGACACCACTTGTGACATGCTCAGCATGATGGCTGGCTCATCGTAACAACCGAGAAGTGTCATCTGTCATTAGTCATGATACTCTTGGTAGAACTAAGATTTCACCCTAGATCTTTCCTCCTCAGGGAGGAACTCTGAGTGTCTGCTCTCAGCCCAACTCTAATTGTACTGCTGAAGCCCAAGCTCCTTCTCCCAGGGCCGCAGATGCTTCAGGTCTGCAGCCTTGCCACAGCGTCACTCTGCTCTGCTACTTTTCCATGTCACGGAGTCAGTGCAATGTGCCGATAGATTTGTATAATGAAGACTTGAGTCCCTTGAATGACTCAAGTTCTTGTATTAAGAAGATTAAGCTAACCTCAGGCTGTTCCTATCCTCTCTTCCCCATTCTCTCTTCCCCATCCTCAGCCCCTCAGGAGGTCCAGATGGAAAAATGTGTTATTGTCCATCCAACAACAAATATTTCTGAGCGATGACTTTGCTCAAGATACCACGCTGAGGCCATGGCATTTAAACAGGAGAGTGAGGCACAGTCTTTGCCTTTCAGGACCCTACGGTCCATGTTGCCAAGATGGGGTGCAGTGTTAAAAGGCAGCTGACAACACTGGAGGGTTCTAAGTGTTAACGGGGTGGTGCAAAGGAAAATAGGGTTGAAGGAAAGGAAAGATCAATGTAGCTGGAAGAGTCTGGTCTGGGGCTGATGGCCCTTGGCCTCAAGCAAGACCCTGAAGAGGAATTTGCTGTCTTGGTGTTCTCCATGTTGGAGAAAAGAATACTTCCTTTGTTGATTGACTCTAGTAGGGATTAAAGAAGATTTATACCAAATTGAAACAAGCAAAATCTGAAAGTGAGCTTAAGAAGGTGCAGTGATGGGGCTGGCCCCGTGGCCGAGTGGTTAAGTTCGCGCGCTCTGCTGCAGGCGGCCCAGTGTTTCGTTGGTTCGAATCCTGGGCGCGGACATGGCACTGCTCATCAGACCACGCTGAGGCAGGGTCCCACATGCCACAACTAGAAGGACCCACAACGAAGAATATACAACTATGTACCGGGGGGCTTTGGGGAGAAAAAGGAAATAATAAAATCTTAAAAAAAAAAAAAAAAAAAAAGAAGGTGCAGTGATTTATGACTCTCACCTCAAGACCTTCATTTTAAAGATGATCAGCATGAGCAGGCCTTGCCTGAAGGCGAATATTAACTAGTCTAATTATTGGACCTAAAAAGCAATTCCAGTCTTGATGATGTTTGTATCCTATTTTACACAAAGACTAGATGCACTAAATCTATAGCTCTTTCTTTCGACATCAAGAGTCTGTGTAAAAAATGTTGGCTTTAATAATATTTTTATTAAAATTACATAAACACAGAAAAATTCACTGGTCATAAAGCACAGCTTTGTGCATTTACTCCAGTGGACACACCTGGGTAACCACGGTTCAGTTCAAGAAAGAGAACATTTCTCTCCCATGCTCCCTCATAGTCATCAAAGGTAACCACTTTCCTGACTCCTACAGCATCGATTGCTTTCACCTGTTTTTGAACTTTATGTAAATAGAACCACCTAGTACCTATCATTTTACATCCAGTTTCTTCCTCCCAACATCACATCTGTAAGATTCACACGGGAGTTGATTCACTTGCTGTGCTGTATCGTATTCCATAATATGAGTACAGCACATTTTGTTTATCCATTCTACTGTTGAGGGACATTTGGGTTGTTCCTTCTTTGGGCTATTATAAGTAATGATGCTATAAACATTCTTATACCTACACTGTGCACATTTAGGTGCATTTTTATTTGGTATATACCCTGGAGTAGAATGACTGGATCATAGAGTATGCATCTATTCCATTTTCGTAGTTATCATCAAAAAGCTTTTCCAAAGTGATTGCATGAATTCACACTCCCACCGGCAATTTATGAGACTTACACACATCCTTGTCAACACTTGAGATTATCGTCTTTTAGTTTTAGCCATTTGGAAGGTAGGTAGTAGGGTCTCTTGGTGGTCTTAGTTTTTATTTCCCTGATGATGGAGGTCGAGCATCTTTTTGCGTGTGTATCAGCTATTTGGATATCTTCTTTTGGATAATAACTGTTCCAATTTTTTGCCCATTTTTTAATTGCAGTGACTGATTTTTCATTAATTGAATTGTCAGAGTTCTATACATATTCTGCATGTATATGGATTTGCCAGAACTTCATAGAGTCTAGTTATTGCAGATGTCTTCTCTCTGGCAGTCTTGGCAGCTTAGTGGTTGGCAAAGGCCTAAAGGGAAAAGGAAGATGAATCTTGGGCTCCCTTCTCCAAAATTCCTTTTTCTCAGGGATTTTGGTCCAAGACCTTGGTGTCTGGGTGGCCTTTTAATGACTCCCAAACATATGAGTGTGTGTGTGCCTAATATTTTATGCAGATTTCCTCCTAGTTTTTTGCATCAGAAGGGTTGTTCTAATATAAGCTTTTCCTCCATCTCCAGAAGCATAAGGTTAAGAACAAGACTGGTCATTTTGGGCATTTCAAAGGAAAACTGTAGCATGGAGAAGCATGTGTGAAATCCTAAGGGCAATCCCCTCAACATTTCACACACACACACACACACACCTTTACTGGGCTTGGGCTGAGGTGGGGTGGAGCTGGGACAAGGAAAGGATGAGAAAAGTTTAGCCAGTTGCTGTGCAGGGTTCTGCTCTCTGACCCTCGGGCCTCTCCCCAGGAGAGGGAGTTAAAATAAATTAGAGAAAAGTTTGGGGGTCCCAAAACAGTGTCTTTATATCCCAAGACTTTGGGCCTCTTGAGAAGCCCCCATCCAATGGAACAGCGAATTAAAAAAAAAACGCCAGTGCTAGACTGAGAGCCAGCGAACAGCTCTCAGGTCCTGTGTACCCAAGGGCCCCAGCGCCGTGGGAGAGGGCCTTCCAAAACCTGCCTACTCACCAAAGCAAGGCACACAGCTAGGCTGAAAATGGGCCAGCGGACTGGAGGCGGCCTCCGGGTTGAGATAAGGAGGGCACAGCCTATGGGAGTCCTATTGATGGGAGCCCATGGCCTGCCTGGTGGTGGCAGCATTTGCTATAAAGACCTAGGTTGATGCCCAAGTCCAGGCAAGATGGACTCAGGGAGGCCTGGGGCAAGTACGCCCATCAGATGTCTCTCCTGCCAGGCTGGCTTTGCCCTGGTTCTTAAGAACACCTCGCCCGCCCCACACCCAGCCTCCTCCTGGAACTTACTTCAGGTCCAGAGAGAAGAAGAAAAGGAGCAAGGATCTGAGGAGAAGCCTGAATTAACAAAATAAGCATCTAAAGGAGACCAACTTTGAAACTGGAGGGGACTGAATCTCTTGGGTGATGAGATTTAATATCCCATTATTGTTGTGGGTGGAATTGTGTCTCCTCAAAAGATATGTTGATGTCCTAACTCCTGGTACCTGTGAATGTGACCTTATTTGGAAATAAGGTCTTTGCAGATGTAGCCAAGTTCCGATGAGGTCATTAGGGAGGGCCCTAATCCAATATGACTGGGTCCTTATAAGAAGAGACGAGACGCAGACACAGAGACCCACAGGGAGAACACCATATGATGACAGAGGCAGAGATTGGAGCCATACGTCTACAAGTCAAGGACCGCCAAGGATGACAGGCAGCCACCAGAAGCAAAGAGAAAGCATGGAACAGGTCCTCCACTAGAGCCTTGATGGGTTTCATGACCCTGCTGACACTTAGATTGCAGACTTCCAGCCTCCAGAACTAGGAGACAATACATTTCTGTTGTTTAAAGCCACCTAGTTGGGGGGGGGGGGGGTCCTTTGTTATGGCAGCCTAACACCATGGCTACAGCCACTAACTGGGAGCTGCTGGACTAAGCTGAGTTCAATTATGGAAAAGGAAGGACAAGTCTCTGTAACTGTCCCCAAGTTTTATATTACACTCAGACTTTGAGTCTATAATTCCCCTCAAAGGTAGCCTTTCATGTCACCTTTGGATCGGGTGACCCTGTGTCCTCAGGGTGCGGATCTGCCTCTCTCGTGGAGGAGTTCCCCAAGTTTACGTCTGCACCAGTGTCAACTGCCTTCTGTCCGTCAACACAGCGAGTGTCAGAAGGCTTTTGTTTTTCTGGTTCCAGTCTCATTAAGCTGGGCTGAACTAGCATGACTCAGAATTTCTACCGACTGAGGAAACAGATACGGTTTACAACCATGTGTACTTTGCAGTAAAAAATAACTCCGGCCAAGGTCTCATCAGGAAGAGACTTGCTGAAGTTACTCAGTGCCATTACGCTATTTTCTCCTGTGACAATGCACCATCAAGCTCGGCCTGTTGGGATGATTGAAGGGCTCTGGGGAGGCTCCTCGGTTAAATTGCCCTTATTGCTTCTAAGTGTCTGAGGTTCCATTATGTATCATCATTCCTTTGGTTCTTGAAGGCGTTGTCCATTTTCCAGTTAAGGCACAAATATCTCCTGAGAAAGTTCACACTTCAGCTCTTAGCAGCAGCCAACAGTTTATTGCTGTTTTCTGTCCTGGGACCTAGAAGAGGCACTGAGGGTTTAACACGGACGGCCACGGCCGGCTTCCTGGTTTGGCCCAGGGCTGGGTCACCATCATCCTCAACAGCCAATCTTTAATGACCATCCACCTAGTAACAATGACAATTAACTTGGAAATCTTGAACTGTATTTTCAAAATAAGAAGGAGTTCATTAATAAAATGACGAGTCCTGTCTTCCCCATCCACTCTGGGTCAGCCGCTCACTAGCTGTGTGACCACTGGCAGGTTGCTCCTCATCTGTGAAATGGGCTAATAATGTTACCTCCCTCCTGAGGAGGTTACAAGATGCAAAGGAAATAAATTCTTTAAAGCGCGGAGCCCAGGGCTTAGCCCAGAGTAAACAGTCAGTGAATGTTAGTGTATCATCAGTGTGTGAATTTTCTCTCCCTAGGTTAGTACATAGTTGAGTTTCTTCATGCTGTGTTGGTTTTGTGCTAAACTCATGTGTGTCATTCCACAGAGTGATCCATATGAATTCAGATATTAGTCCATCAAAAAGAGCAATAAAGACCCCCTACATTGACCAGAGCCCACATGATGCTTCCTATTATGTATTCTTCATATTTGAAAATACACAGAAGTAAAATAAAGCATCAGGATAAAAGAAATCCTGAAACTGTTTTTAAGCTTATATAACACGTAGATAGTGTTTACTGTATGCTTTATAAATATGAACTCATTTAATCCCCATATGATTCCATCAGGTAAATTGTATTATCCCCATTTTACACACGAGGAAACTGAGGCACTGGGGGTTAAGTCATTTCCTGAGGTCACAAAGCTAGTGTAAGAATTGGAACCAGGATTTAAACCAGACATTTAGACCCCAAGGGCTGTTAACTGTTATCCTATGCTGTGAGCGTGCGTGAACACACACACACAGGCTTCTCCTTCCATTATGCTTCCATTCACTTTCCTTGAAAATGTACGATGCTCAGAATGTTATAGACATTCCTTAGTGTAATCACGTCTGGGGGGATGGAAAGTAAGATGTCCAGGAAAGGAAGAGGAGTGGATTTTTAATAAAGAGGAGCCTCTGCTAAGGTGTAATGGTTTCTGGGAGGCAGAGAGGGTTGAGCAAGAATTGCCGCTTCTGAAGACTTCTGACAACATTCCTTCTCTCCACCCTCAGATGCAGAAGCCCATGAACGTGAGACGCCAGGAAGAGTCATCAGTGGCCAGCTTCCAGATGAAAGGAGAGAAGAGGAAAAAGGAGATTTTCAGAACCCAGTTGTGTTAAACATGGTAACAGAGGAGCCTAACAGTGAAGGAGGCAAAAAAGATAAGAGGTTCCTGCCCCTGGGGGCAAGGCATTCAGTTGCCAGATCAATGCATGGGCACAGCAAGGGATGAACGCAGCTCTGCAGAGGCCAGACGACCCACTGGGGTAGTGAGCAGCCCTGAAGTGCCAATGCTGTTCCAAGTCCTGGGCCAGTTACAACTACAACCCCCGCCCCGTCCCTGGCCCACTGTCTAGTGGGGGAGGGGGTGACCATGAGAGAGCAAATAGTCATACTGCTACGGAAGCACAGAGCTGGTTCCACGCAGACAGATCCTGGAAGATGTTCCCAGACAGACGCCATGTCTGCCAGGTCCTGAAGTGGGAGAGGGCTCCCAGGAACTTGCTGCCATTGGGCAGAACTGGCGGGGATGGTGGGGGGAGGAAGGGAAGTTTGGAAACTCTTCAGGACGTAACATGGAGAAGACTGGACACCAAATGGTTGTGGGAGTGAAGGTCGGACAAGGTCAAAGGCGGCCCCGAGCCTCTTGGGAAACCAGGATGTACTGACTGAGGTAGGTGGTGGGACAGAGGAGGAGAAAGTCTGGGGAGGCGTCCAAATGGGAAAGTGAATGTGGATAAAGGCCAGCCCTCCAAGGGGGTGGGAGTCAGGGAAGCGGTGAATCATATTGTCTTGGATTTTTTTTGTCTTCCCCCACTAGGAAGTCTTTTTGTACCGATGAAATTGTGTTGGATTGGAAATAAAAGAGGACCAAAATGTAACTTTCAGCGGGGGGCGTAGGCCGGGAAGAGCCTGGCAGGGACGGCGGTGTGGTGGGCAGGCTCTGAGGCTGTGGACCACTTGGGTGACTCTTGGACTTACTGCTTGCTCGTTTGCTTATCTTTCACAGGAGCTGGTAGACATTCTAACAGCAGGTCTCCGCCACCGCCCGCCCGTCAATTGCCCCTCCATTCACCTTGCCGTCCAGACAGTGCTGGGGAGACACAAAGCATCTTGAGTACTTCCTCATTACCTCATGGCAGTGAAAAGAAGATGGATTTTCCACCGCCTACTTCTTTCTCCAGTGGGTAAACATAGAGCGTCCTCAGCGCTTCTGCAAGAGCAGGTAGCAACAAGAGTGCTGCTGGTTAACAATAATAATCGGGGGTGGGCACACCTCTCAGTTAAAGTTCAGGTCCAGGAAGGAGTCCTCGCAAATGAATGACATCCTCTCGTTATAGAAAATTGTACTTTCACAAAGGAATTTCCTAAAACGTGACAAATTGGGTCAACCTATAATTGCTAAGTTCTATGATGGCCTCGCTGGCTAGGAGTATATATTTGCAGATGATGGATAAAGACCGTCTGTTGAGGTGAGAGGCAAAAAGTCTAGCAGCTCCCTGCACGAAGCTTCTGTTTAGTCTCCCGTTCTCAGGGCTGCTTGTTTAAAACAAGCCGTCTGTTTTTGTTAGGGAATTCCACAAGAGAAAGTGTGCTTGCCGAGACTCTCATTCCAATGACAGGGAATAATGAAATACGCAGAGTTCCCCATCCCTTCCTGGAGGGGGCTGGAGGTGGAGGTGCTGAGGAAGGAAGCAGAGTATTCCAGAGGTTTCAAGAGTAGCCAAAAACTGTGTTTTCTTTCTTTCCCTTTAAAAAAATGGAAAAATAGAAATAGTTTAAAAACTTGACACAAAGCAGGGAGAAATCGTGGGCAGAAAGATTTCATGGATCCTTGACTTTGGGGATGTTGATAGTAGTTTTATAAGAATCTAGATAAGATAATTGTAATGTCAAAATGATTTTTAACTTTTTTTTATGGACACCTATTCTTTACATTGCCATGATACAAATCTAATCTCTTAACGGCAAGGTTATGTATAGTCCTATATCTAATTTAAAAGCCTGAAGTTTGGATTTTAAAGCTTGTGGCTTATTTAAAGCTTATAATTAGAAAGTTTGGATAAAAAGAAAAAACAGTCACACATTCAAGGTATTATTGCTCTAACTTAAGACAATAAAGATCTGTTAATTCAATAAATATTTATATTATGTGCTAGACAAAATTTAAAATGCAGATTTTTTCTACTTGACACTATTTTTCCATTCTATCACTAAAGTTTGTAAATTCTCTTTAAAAATGCGGTAGTATAAGGCTGTCCAAAGAATTAGGTTTAAGTCTATATGTATTGACATGTAAATATATTAGTTCATATATTTATAAATATGTGATGTGTATGACACATTTGATGAATATTTACTATAATTGTTATAGGATACCCTAAGACTTTATTTTTCTTTCTTTAGAGATATATTGGACTGAGAAGCAACTGACAAGCATATAAATCTAAGCTCAAGGTCAGGCTTTAGCTCATTTAATACCCCAGCTTTGAAATTAAAACCCCACAATTATATGTCATCACTAAATTATAACTCTTTAAGGAGGTTCATAATGTTTAACGTGTACCTATTCAATGACACACAGGTACACCTAAATGAATTTCACAGCTCTGTTTACAAGGAGAAAGCCGCTAGGTCAATTCCCTGTCAGGCATCCATGCTTCAGGTAGTTTAATTTAAAAAAAAATCACTTCCCTACACCAGGTGGCTCTATACCAGCAATCCTCAACTTCCAACGTGGCTTAAGTTATCTTCATCAGTGAACAGAAGTCTATCTGTTTTTCCTCCCTTCCTACCCACTTAGAACTTGACATCCAAGCCCCAAACCCCAATACTTTCAATAATAACAAGCAGCCGCATTTATATAACAGAAAGTTAGGAAGCATGTGCTGTTGAGGGCTGAGGGGAAATGACTGAACATAATGAATAGGTTTGGGAGAAAGGAGAAGGAATTCAGGAAGAGTCCAACCAGAGAGGCGGCGACCCATCCAAGAGCAAGTTTTATGGGACGAGGGAATTGAAAAAGTGGAATTGAAGGCCATAAAGGGAAACTTGAGAGAAAAGGCAAGCTCATATTTTGTAAGTTTTGCATTTCACAGAACGTTTATGGGTTCAGCAAACACATTTCCTATGCTGAGGGCTCCAGTGAAAATAAATGCTGGCCCTACTACTAGCTGGCGAGCAAGAGTTGATTCAACGTCATAGGGTAGATAGCATTATAATAGGTACTGTATTTTGATTCAGAAAGTATCAATGTTTACATTTTCAGTTATGTTTATCGGATTGCTCATAAATTATGAAAAATGAAGCAAACTTAAAACAACATCACTTTTATCAATTTAGAACAATCAATGCCAAAGGCAATTTTTTTTAAGGATATATCTTTTTTTTGGTGAGGAAGATTGGCCCTGAGCTAACATCTGTGCCAACCTTCCTCTATTTTGTATGTGGGATGCCACCATGGCTTGATGAGCGGTGTGTAGGTTCATGCTGAGATCCTAACCCACAAACCCTGGGCTGCTGAAGCGGAGTGTGTGGACTTCACGATGCCACCAGGCTGGCCCCAAGGATATAGCTTTTGAGGGTGAAGTCTGACGTTAAAAGTCTTTCTCTGTATTGCTGTGGGTTACGAGGAGCCAGACTAGTGCATCAGCATCTTGGGCTGCTCCACTCAAAACTCACAAATTTCAGCGGGGCACGTTTCTTCCCAGGGAGCATGGAGGACAGCTGTCTCCCCTTTGAAGATGCCTGGGGATGCCTTCTAGCTCTGGGATGGAGTAGTGACAGTCCTGGCCCTGGCCAAGAGAGAGTCTGTGGGATTAAGCAAGGTTTTTAGATCTGGAATCTTGAGCAATCTTCAAAACAAATATAGAACTTCTATCACGGGGTGGTAATCCTACCAGGAGACCTTACGTTTTGTAGTTTTTCTTCAAAGTTGTATAAGTTAGACTCTAGTAACTTGTCAGTGGGAGTAAGCACTGGTCAAATGAATCCAAGAAAAAGAAAAATCTATCAGTCATGTGCACAGGTATGCCCCCACCCCCTACGACTCTACATCTCAACTACACACCATACACATGTGCAAATGGTCTGAAGACAGCGGAGAGTAGATCCAGATTTTTGGGTTAAATGCGGCTCTTTCAAATGGTAATCAGGCCTACTACCTTCTTTGTTTCAGGAGTTTGAAAAATGCAGTGAGCTCAATCGTGCAAGCTCCTGAACAGACAGCTGGAAGACCCGTTTGTATTTGGCCAAGCGATCTTCAGAAAGGAGAGATGTGGCCTTCCTCGAAAAGGCTATCTTCTAGAAATCTCGACTTCCCCAAAATTAGCCTGACCCACTGGCGGAGTTGCCTGCCTGTGTTGGGGAGATGGCTAGACTTGAGTCAGTGTGGTCTTTTTTGGTTTTTTGCTGAGGAAGATTTGCCCTGAGCTAACATCCATGCCAATCTTCCTCTATTTTTTTTTTTTTTTAGTATGTGGGCTGCCAGCACAGGATGGCTGCTAACATATTGGTGTAGGTCCATCCCTGGGAACCAAACCTGGGCCACCAAAGCAGAGTGTGCTGAACTTAACCACTAGGCCACCGGGGCTGGCCCAGTGCAGTCTTTACCTGTTTACTAGATCCTGGGTGCTGGGAGGGAGACTGCGTGTAGCTTGGGAACGTTACGGGGAGGAAGTAATAGAAAAGCATAACGTGGAAGTAACCATTGCTAGAATCCTCATTTGCACCCACAGATAGGCTGTAAAACTGCCTTTGAGCCCATGGAGATGGGTATTAAACACAGTCATTCTTCACTGGTATTGCCATCGTGTGCATGTGTGTGTGCGCACACGCGCGCGTCTAACGTCATTTCTGCAGCTGGTGGGGCCCAGGCTGAGGCAGAGAGTTCACACAGCAGGAAGACTGTCTTGCCTCAGTCGCTTGGAAAAAGAGAAAAGAGGGCAGAAAGCCACAACTCAACAAAAAAGAATCTTCTAAAAGCGAGAAAGACGTTTTAAGAGAGCTCTTTTGACATAGAACTCAGGAAGGACAACTCGTTTGTTGAGGCCGTCGGCTCAGTGTCCTGCTACCAGAAAGCCCAGTGAAATACTGCATAGTACTGGAAAGATTTTGGAAACAAAATTCAATTCTGCAAACATTACGAGGCATCTTCTGTGCGCCAGAAAATGTACTAAGTTCCTGGGGATAAAAAGCTGAATTGGGCATGACCCTTTACTTCAAGGGGTTTGGATCTGGGCAATTTAAGTACGAAGACTGTGCAACAGAATATGACACAAATGGTTATTTCTGGGGAGTGGGGTTACAGCTAATATTATTTTTAACTTTTCAGAAAATCATAGGATACTGTAGCTGAGTAGCTTGGTGGCTGTGAAGTGAGTGGCTGGTGAGGAGAGTGGAGCCGCCTCTTTTAACCTCCACGCTGTTCTTGTCTTCCCCAGGGGGGGAGTTTGAATTTATCTCTGGGAGTAGATTTGCCCGAATTGGTTCTTTGGTTATTCTACAGGAAGCTGATCCTGCTTTATAGTGAAGATGACCCAGCTCTTCTTTCTCAGTTCTCTTTGCTGACCCAACTACACCTTGTGAGGGTTCCGTCTCTTCTCAGTCTACAATCTTGACCTCCGGTATTTCAGCCATGTCCATGGCGGTCCATTCCTTCTACATGCCGATCATTTCTCGGTCCACATCTCCAGGTCCAACCTCTGTTCTGAGCACTAGCCTCTTAGATTCCCTGCAAACCTTTCCCAAATATACGCTCCAGTCTATTCTCCACCCCTCAGCTGGACCGGTGCTGAAAACCCTTTAGAGGGTTCTCATTGTTCTAAGGATAAAATCTAAAATTCTTAACATGCCTACAAAAGCATGCATGACTGGCTCTTATTCGCTTCTCCGGGCGCATCTCCTGTGGCTCTGGCCTTCCTCCCTTTCCTACAGTTGGCCCAGCTCTTGTGCACCCCGGAGCCTCAAATCCGCCATTCTCTTTATCTGGAATCATCCAACTCAGTCATCCTTCAGAGCTCAGCTAAAATGTTGCGTTCTTCAGGGGGCCCTCTCTAATCCCTTAGAGCCATGTCAACTCTCATTATATGCTCTGTGTCTTTAGCAGAGACATGGAAAAGAACTATTTGTAAAACGATCTGTTTACTATCTATCTCCTTCAGATTGTAGCAATTACAGATTCCAGCCCTACGGGCCTAACACAGTGCCAGTTGCTGAGTGACGCTCTGTACATGCACTAATAAATGAGTGAGATTAGGAATTGGGGGCTGATTTTCTCTTCCTAACATAACATGAATGTTTATTTTTGCTCTGAACAGAGCTGAGTGTCTGTAGATTATTTTTTGTTTATTGGAGGGGGACTAAGGTTGACGGGGAGGAGAAACTTTTTTCTCTCTCCGCAAGGCCCTGGTGGCATTGCAGCCTGGACTCTGGTGGGGGCACACGCTGGTTCCCTCTCTGGGGCTCCTGCTAAGGAGAGAGATGCCCTGAAACCTGTGGATGGTTTCGCCTCTTTGGGACCATTATTTGGTTTTAAACGTTTTTCTTTTCCCTTCTGTAAGTCCCTTCTGTTTTCCCAAGCCTTCTGTTAAACGTTGACCCTCACGGCTTGGTCGGGGCTGTGCTGGGAGGAGCAAAGAGAGGCAAAAGCTGTAGGGGACAACGCAGAGACAACTTGCGGTTGAGGGAGTGGCAATCAGGAATGAATGGCCAGCTGAGGGGACAAGTGCCAGCAGGGAGAGGGCTGTAGAAATGAGATTCTTCATCTGGAATGTGCAGGCGTATTTCCGGAGGGAACTGGACACCGCCTGGACTCCATGAAGTTCCATAGTGTGCCACCATTGACTCATTGCCTGTCAGCTCCAAATCCATCCTTTTTGCCTTCTCTGTAAAAATGGATCTGGGCCCTTTATACCATTTCCTCTGCCGGCTGGCATGTTGTTAAGCCTCGTCCGTAGAGGGAGTGGGGAGACTGGGCAGGAGGCCAGAGCTCTGCCTGCTGGTTGCTTTGCTCTTGCAGCCGGCTCGGCATTCTGGGCCATGCCTCCAGCATCGGGATCCTGCCGTGCAGGGCAGCCAGCAGCACCCAGTGGTCTCCAGCCAGCATCTCCTGGCACCCTGCTCTTTGGGTGGTTTTGTGGTGAAGTGCTTCTGTGGGACACCCTTCCCCACACGCTAGACAGTAGATTTGCAGTAAGTTCCACTGGCATGATACCACAGTGACAGAGGCTGCCATAGTGAGCCATGGCTGTGCTCTCCCAAATGGAGTCTAGGTCTCAGCCCACGGAAGGGGGAGGCTCATCCTTGGGTGCTCTTTCTTGGCTCTAAGGGTTATGGCTGCTCCTTAAATCTCCTATTCCTATTTTCTTTTGCATTTTCTTTACTTCTTACTAGTCAATCCCTCATTGCTCCAAAGCCTGTTGTAGTTAATAATTTTTTTTGTGTGAGGAAGATTTGTCCTGAGTTAACATACATTGCCAATCCTCCTCTTTTTTTTTTCTTTCTTGAAGAAGATCAGCCCTGAGCCAACATCTGCACCAATCTTCCTCCACTGTGTATGTGGGATGCCTCCACAGCATGGCTGATGAGTGGAGTAGGTCCACACCCATGATCCAAACCCATGAACCTGGGCCACCAAAGCAGAGCACACGGAACTTTAACCACATGGCTGTGGGGCCAGACCCAATCCTTCTTTATATTAAACTTCCACTGTTTAAGTACTGCGTGGTTTCTCTCTCCTGATTGGACCTAGACTGATACACACAGGATGGGGCTCAGACTCTGAGCACTTGGCTGACAAGGGAAGGTGTCTCTAGAAGACTGAGGGAATTGGAGACATTTGGGCTGTACGTATTTTTCCAAGTTTGTGCAATGAACATATGACTTACATATGCAGAAAAAAGAAAAAAATTTAAAAGTTTGAAAAAATGCAATACAAGAAGCAAAGGGGACAAAAACATTCAAAAAGACCCCAGTGTGGTAGGTGTGTGGCAGAAACAAGTTATGTGCTAAGGGGGGAAGTGCCTTAGAGGAGGTGATGCTTGAAATGAATGTAAAGGGTGAGTGGCAGGGGGCACTTTCCCAGGCAGACACATGTGTGCACTGGTGTGGACACAGGACCAGGGAGAGCCTATGTCATGGGAAGTGGTCAGTCACCAGCTCAGTGTGGACAGCGCCTGTGGCGGTCAGAGGTGGAGTGCCAGGTCTGGGTGATCACAGCAAAGCCTCATGGCTTCATTTAAAAACTATGGGGTGGGTGGGAAAGTGGACTCCATTTGCCTTTTGCCGTCCGCAGCTGTGAGAATCTTCCTTGCATATCTTCGACCATCTCCAGCTATCCTGGAGCTTCACTGACCAAGGGCCCTGGCTGCTGTCCTCTGAAATTCATCTCTGGGTTTGTACCCAAGGCCACACTTCCCACCTGGCTGCTCCCAGCCAATGACTGGGAGTGATATGGGCAATAAGGCAGGTGGGTTCCAAAGAGAATTGGGAGCCCATGATGAGCAACTGGATGTAGGACTCCCCGATGATGTTCCCTAGACTGCATGGAGGTTAGAATGATGGGGTCTCTCTCCTTTACTGGGGGCAGAGTTGCATAAAGCCTGGCTCACTCCCATCCCTTCCTATTTAATCCCACAGCCATTTCCCCTAAGAAAATCCTTCCACGCCCAGCCCTGTCTTGGCGCCTGCTTCTTGGAGGACCCACATCAGCACCTGACTACGCCTTCCTTCCCTTCCCTCTCCTCTCCAGCGAGAGCCTTTGTAAAGGCGAGGCCGGCGATTGTGGGGACACAGCCTTCATTCCCGCTTCTCCTGGGCATTCTCCCCCTTCTGTCATCCGGGCCCTTGGCCTACTCAGGTTTCCCTAATGAACCCTGCAGCTTCTCCATCTGGAAAGTCCCAATTCTCCTGGACTCCGGGGTCACCATCCGAGTGTCACCTCCATGTCTGTCCTCTTCTCGGGACGGGAAGGAGAGACTCTCCTGCCTGCCGCAGGAGACTCCAGATTCCGCCTGCTTCTGTCCTTGGTGGCACCCGAGGGAAGTCTCCGCTGTAAGCTCTTTGGGGAAGGGACTGGATCCTATTCACGCATCGCATGCACGATGGCAGGCAGAGCGCCCAGCTCCTGGTAGGCGCTTCCTCAGCGCTTGTTGAGTTCTTGGTTTCCATCAGTTGGGACGTCCCAAAGAAAGCGCAGGAGGCGACGGTCGGAGCAGCAGGCAGGAGCGCGGGCCCCCCCAGTGCGGGTGGCGGGGTCGGGGCCCGGCTGGGCGGGCGCGGCGGGGGGTTGGCGCGGGGGGTGGGGGGGGGGGGGGGGGGGGGGGGGGGGGGCCGAGCGGCCCGGGAGGAAGGTGCGGCCGCTCCGGGCGCCACAGGCGCTGCGCGCAGGGCGAGGGGCAGCGGTGGCCGCGGCGGCTCCCAGCCCGCGCCCGACGACGATCGAGGGACCCCGGCAACTTCTCTGACTCTCCCCGGGCGCCGCCCCGCGTCCCCGCGGTGGGGGCGCGGCGGGGACGGCGTGTGGCCGGCGGGGCGGCCCGCGCGCAGTGCCCAGCGGTGCACCGGAGGTAAGCGGCGGCGGGGCGGGCGGCGGCGGGCGAGCCCGGATCCCTCCCCGGCGCGCTGCCCGGCCCGGGGCGCTCGGGGCGCTCGGGGCGCGCGGCTCCCGCGGCGGCGGCCGCCCCGCGGGCGGGCCCGGTCCCCAGACCCCGGCTCCCTCCTCTCTTCTCCGCTTTGTTCCCGGGCCCTCCTCCCCCTGCCCCGGGAGCTGCGCCGGGGGTCGCGGCTGCGGAGCGCAGAGGACGCACGAGCCCCGCGCCCCGGGCGCTTCCATTTCCCCCCGCGCCGTCTGGCCGGGCGGAGACACTTTCCAGAACACTCTGCCACGCGGTGCCCTGGCCACCCCCAGCCCTGCCCGGCGCTGGGCTCCGGTGTCAGCGGGTCCGCGCGCAGAGCCGGGCGGGGGCGGTGCGGGGCGCGGAGCGGGGGACGGGCTGGAGCGCGCGCCGCGGCGGGAGGGGGCGCAGGGCCACCGCGCCGCCCCCCGACGTCCCCGCCGGGCCGGCTCCGGGGCCGCCGAGGTGCCAAGTTTCTGGGAAAGCCGACACGTTGTGTCCCAAGTGGATCATATGTACCAAAA